TTGAAAAATCGTCTTTGAATTGATAAAAACAATATTCCCTCAACTTTGTAAATATGAATGAAACTTTATATTTCACTTAATCCGTTCTTTATTTTTTAGATTACCTTATCAATTCTCATCTCATATTATCAATTACACATTAATGAAATCTCTACAAGATACTCAACTTGTATATTTATTTTGAACACACTCACAATTTTTGTCAGTACTTACATTAAAATTTTTTATACTCATATTTTTCTTTTAAAACCAATAATTAAGAAGATAACCAAGTATATTCAAATATTTAAATATTCTTATCCTAACCTATTTATAATCTCCAAGATCTTTCTTTATTTTTTTCCCCTCTCTTAATGAATTTATTTATCACTAAATTTTATTATCTCATTCTTTTCTTTCTATCTCTATTATCTATTAACCACTATTTCTCAAAACCTTATCAATTCCTTTAATTTAATTTTTATTATTTTTATAATATAATAATTTACACCTTCTTTCCCCCCCCCCCCTTTTTTAATCTTATTTTTTAATTACATTACAATTAATTAACCTTAATCTTAATAACATTACATTCATCATGTTATTTTTTATTTAGAATATAATAATAGGCTTGATAAGTCCCCCAGAAATTTTTTTTGATGATAGCCCTCCAACTACTAGAAATATGCATCTAATATTGACCCACCGGTTTTACATTATTTTAATGTTTGTTTAATTTCAACAATAGTTTATTTATATTTTGCCTGATTTCTTTATTTGTCTAGGCTAACCCTAATCCCTCCATTGTAACAAAACATGATGAATCTACTATTAAAGATAAGCAAAGAAAATAATGACTATTAAACAAACGTCTTACCCGTTCTAGAGTTACTGGTAGACAAAATAATAAAGAACTACGCTTGAAATGAACTCATCTGGAGGTTTATTTTTTCTTTTTATCTTATGTTTTATATCTATGTTTATTTTATTTTTACCCAGTTCTCCAGCTATCACCACTACCACAATCCCTATGCTTCCGCCTATTTTTAACAAATATAAACATTTAATTCTGTACTATCATTCACTTCACTAGGAGTTAATATAAATATTACTTTATCCAATTCTCTGAGAAACTTTCATGAATATTTAGAGGAATGTTCAAACTTGAATGTACAGTACGGCCAATTTCATCAACTTTATGAATGGAAAAATATGCAGTAGTTCTGTCGTGACCTTTAAACAATACTTACGACCGTTTTATGGTTGAGTTAACATTGTCGTTCATGATTCTATTTTAGAAGGGGATACCAATGCTGACATTGACAGAAATATCGTTTTGCGTGTTCAAACTTAAATGTACAGTACGGCCAATTTCATCAACTTTATTAATGGAAATATATACAATAGTTCTGCCGTGGCCTTTATAACAATACTTACGACCGTTTTATGGTTAAGTTAACATTGTCGTTCATGATTCTATTTTAGAGGGAGCTACCAATGCTGACATTGACAGAAATATCATTTTGCGTTCTTCTTTTACCAGTATCCCAAGGCATAGACATATGCCTCATATTTATCAGGACGTAATGTGTTTTGTACACTGCTTTGTTAATCCGTCATTACTTTCATCTACAACCCTAAATGATATAAAATTATACATTAATTATTTCCTCTCCAGACGACCGCCCATTTTATTTTGTCACTTTTTCCATCAAAAATTAAAATGTCAACAAGGATTTGCTCTTAATTTTATCAAATACATAATAAATATTCCTCACTATTTTTTAAAAAAATTATCCTAAATTTATATGTCAATAAAAAAATATCTTAAAAAATATATAAATATTTGCATATAAGTTTCATTAGTGTTTAATGGCATTGTAATTTAAATAGACAGCATTTTTTTTTTACTTAACATAAAAAAATATATATCCCTTAACAAATTCTTTGACAAATAATTTCAGAAATGCAAGACATACATTAAATTTATCTGGAAAACAACAATAACCCTATATAATAAACAACATATTTTTTAGATATAATTTTAATTGATTATATTACAAAAAAGTATAAGAGTCGCTTATTTTTATTTTATTTGTCATGATTCTTTAATAAGTGGTTGCCCAGGCCTTCCCAGTTTCCCTTAATACGGAATTTACATGTTTTTTTTCCATATTAGACTAATTGGTAAATCAGATATTTCCCGTTCATGTGATGATATTAAAAATTTGACTATCTCCGAGGCGGGAAAAAATTTTCAAAATTATAATGGGTAGGACTGGGCTTGGAACCTCAAAATTAATATTAGCTTGCACCTGACTTGGGAATATCTTTTACAAATTATCAAGGGTTGAGCTGGGCTTGATAAACTTTTTTTAAATTATAAGATCTTGGATGCTTTCTAATATTGTGAGCTTGAACCTGGCCTGACATCTATCGTAAAAAATGAATAAAAATCTCATTCCCCATCATTTTTGACGGGCTTTCTACTTGTTTCAATAGTAATATAATATCCTTCCACAAATATCAAAACCAGAAAAATATAAATATTCATGTATTTATTTGCTATAAAGTCACTTTTAGTCTTTTGAAGGTATAATCTAAAAAATTTTTGCTCTGGGGGAGGGGGTCAGCTATATTCTTTCTATATTTTATCCCTTTCGGGGAAAATATGGATATAGCCGAATGCTTTGGCCTTTATGGCTTCAGCATTCCTTAGGCTTTATTTAATAAATCAAAATTTTCGAACACAATAATACTAGAAATACAATAATAATAATTATAATTACGGATATTATGCTATTTATATAAAATAATAAATAACGGATGAGTCGTTCTGACGTGTAAATTGTAATTGTATTTGTTCGAAATCTTTGTTGATTGCCTAATTGATTAGGTCCGTTGAATTGATGCTAACGTTTTCCCAATTATAGGATATCGTAGAGGCACCTTCGGAAGGTATCAATAACCCGGATATTAGTGACGGTGCGTTGGATATTAGTTGTCCTAGCGACGGGGTTGTCTCGGACCCGAAGAGGGATTCTTGCTGATCTTGTTAGAGGGCAGGAGTTTGTAAAGTAGGTCAATCAAACAGCTGTAGATGTTCTCTTTCTGCTAGCCATATCCTTGAAGGCTCGTATGCTGGGTTTTCCTATGAGTGGACCCATATATTATGGGCTATGGCTGTGAAGTTTGGAAGTCCAAGTTTGATTAATATTTGGGTTAAGACTATTTCAATGGACGGAGATCTTGATCCGCTCTTTTTGAATAAATAATATGCCACCATCGAATCCGTGAAAATGACAGGATGTTGATTATATCGGTTTAGGGCTAAGATCTCTACCATTCATACTGCGAGAATCTCTTTTGCATTGACGTGGGTAATTGCGTGAGTAGTAACATTGAATAGCAAGGTTACTTCATAGAATGATATGGACAGGTTATCGTATCCCAAAATGATACTCCAATGTGTGAACCCGAGGCATCAGTATAGAAGGGGTTGGTGGCCAGATAATGGATTCTAAGAGGGGTTTTTAACGCTTCTATAACCTATCTTGCTTTTACAAATGCGAGATATGTATCTACGATTGGAGTCAGCTGTCCGTGATTCACATAGTAGAGAAAATAACCTAGACATACCAGTGAGTGTGTAGGCATAGTGGTTGACCACTCCAAGGACTTTTGCTGCTAATATACGTCCTATTTCTAGGTGTTGGTACGAGTGTCTTCGGAAGACTGCTAGGCATTTCTCCAGGCGACGCCTGGTATTAGTATCGGCTGAAATTGTTTTTAACTTTAAGTCAATGGGGATACCAAGATACGTAATGCGCGGGGTTGTATCCAGGAGACTTTTCTGTGGATATTTTAAGACCCCACCTTCTAGTGTACATCTTAAGGATCGTTTTGACCACTTAACATCTTCTTTGTTGTCCCCATAGATGAGAAAATCATCCAAATAGACGTTATAGTTGGCTTTCCTTACAGTTTTAGCGCAAGCATCCAGGATGATCGACTGGAGGCAATAAGGGCTAAACGATGCACCCATAGGTAGGACTTTGAATGCATAGCAGGTCCCGTTGAATTTGAACCCGAAGAATTTCCTAACTTGGGAGGCCAATGGCACCGAGAAAAAGGCTGACTTGATATCTATCTTGCAGGCAAACTTGGCTTGGTCGAGCTTGCCGGACATGAGTGGGATAGATTTTAGACGAAAGGGGTAATGCAGAAAGTTTTTGAAGACTTGAGAGAAGTCACTGATTACTCTTAGGGCTCCATTAGCTTTGGGATTGACATAGAGCGGCGAACAGATTTGGTTATTGTCCGAAATTTATTTTTTTTCTTTCCAAATGGAAGTTAACTCTCATTTTCCAATTAATTTTATAAACATATTTGTCCTAATTATATTTTTTGTAAATTTTTATATGTGGTATTTTTCAAATTAAATCGTATATTTCAATTTGCTCAAATAACTCAAATACTCATTTTATGCTTTTGTAAGAGATTTTCTTAATTGCCTCTCCAAAATTTTTGTCTGCCCCCCTCCAATCGATGAAGCTAGAATCGGGCCTGGTGAACATACTACCACTGGTCGAAATCCTTCTTAAATGATGTAAGGTAGGCTTACAAAAATCAGTTCCTAGAATCACGATTTAATATATAAGATACGAGATTAAGATTCGCAACCGGTTTGGGTACGGAATGAAGGTACGTCAAACTTGCGGAAAAGAATGATTAAGCCAAAAAGTTATAATTATTTATATATTGTTAAATCTGCGGAAATCAGGGGGAGAGGATCTTGTAGTAGCAAAAGAAGCTATTGATTCAAGTAGTAAGACAAGATTAGAATTTCCAAGAATAGTGTTATGTTCTTCACGAAAAGAGTGCCAAAAAGATTTATTAAAGAATGATTTAAATTAATTTTGCGGTAATACAATATAGTGTATATTTTTCATATGTAAATTATTATTTTAAATTATTAGTTGATCGATAATGCATTTTAAAAGTACACTTAACAAATTTGATCATACTCATGTTGTTTCATGTCAAATGACGACGGTAAGCTGCCACACGTTACTGCTTATTAGACAGAGAAAAAAACATGGTACAAACTAATTTTCATATGATATCTGAATTACAAAGTCTGCAAGAAAGAATTTCTGACATGGAATCTTATATATTTGGAGATATTAAAATTTCTGTAATATCTCCAACAGTACTAATATACTTATTAATGATTTAATATTTTACTCAGTTAATAGATAATATAATAAATATCAATAAACAAATTGCTCAAATAGTTAACAATAAAAATATAATATTGTTCTTAGAACAATGTAATTCAACTTTTATATACTTTTAATTATATTATATAGTATCCAAAAAAGCCTGTATATTATCAAATCATCCACAGATAGAAACATTGCAATTAAAATATGATTTGATTTTTTCAGGTAAATAATTATATTCCCCATTAATTTAAAATGAAAATATAAGGGGAAAAACAAATAGAAATTAATACCTCATTACTGAAAAAAATTGCACATCATAATAGAAAAATGTATCAAGACAATTTTAATAGTAAAACAAATTTTAAGCTATTATTCTATTTAATAACATAGCTATTAATGCATCTTCGGAAAAAATTAGGTCCCTTATATTATGCAATAGTGTACAATATAATCTGCTCCAAAATCAAAATAATATCTTACAATCATTTATGTTAGAATATTATAAAATGGTATGAATTTAATTCTTATATATAATCTTAATATATTTAATTTAGATCAATTTAATATCTGGAATGTTTATTGTGTGGGATAAAATAATTAGAAAGTTAGAACAACAAATATCCAATGACTTTTGATTTTTTAAAGTTTTAATTTATCAAACATAAAGTGCAAGAAATAAAATTGTAATTTTTTAAAATAAATGTTTTAAGTTGATTTCCATTATTTCAAAGATCCCTGATGTGAATTTTATTCAGAATCCATTATTGCCAACAAATATTTTAGTCTTAAAAATCAATAATGAATTTAATTTAAAATTTAAGGAAGGTCTTGATTTTCATTCTTATCAAGAATTTTATATAATTAAACTTCCTCTATATCCACAATATTTTGTGGGATCCATCTTATCTAGCATTACTCTTGAACAATTGTTTAAGAATGTGAAGATTTCAATTATATGGGCTTTCAACCTTCCCTGAAGATGTGTTAAAATAAACCAAGATCCACTATTTAGAAGTAATTGATCCTACTGTCAATCAGGGTTGGACAGTATCACATATATTTTTATCTAAGATACAAAAGAATCTTGTAACTTATTATCTTTTTTTAAACTTTTTGAAAAGATATTGCATGCAAGATACAAATTATATATAAATATATGTATCTTAGTTAACTTTGCTTTCTTAGATACTTAAAAAATCATATATTAGTTAATATTACAGACCCCTGCCCAGATATTTTATTATATTTATTTTTAATATTCATCATTAATATTGGCGATTTTTTTAAAATATCTGCTTTAAAATATAAAGCCCATCCTGGGTATTTTTTTAAGCCCAATTCAGATATAAAAAAATATTAGGCTCTGCCCAGCCCTGGTATATTTCAAAAATTATATTAGCCCTATATCTCAGAATTTTGGTATGCTAGCAACCTAACTTTTTTTATTGATTTAAACTATTCCAGCAATCAGAAGAATCATGATCATTTTGACATGCCCCTATACAGATATTTCACAATTTTTTTGGCATTAAATGAAAAATAACCTATCATTTTAGAATAAGGATAGTTCTAAAAGTTATTAGATAATAAATGATATCATATTTGCTGAAAAACGAACCGTCAAATCCGCCGAATAGGCAGGGTATCTTTTTTAAAAACCAAGCTAAATTTTTTTTATAAACGCGGGTGGTTAAAAATTTTTATAAACCAGAAGGTAAAAAATTATTATTTTTTAAACCTGGGCCAGGACTAGTGATGTTAAAAGTTACATTTGAAACATAACTAGTTACAGTTACTAGTTACATTGGCAAAAACATAACTAGTTACAGTTACTAGCTACATTTTTACAAAAGTAACTAGTTATTAGTTACAGTTATTTTCAAAAGTAACTAGTTACTTACTTTATACATCATTCATATGCGCATTATTTATTTATTGAATGCATTTATTTAATATAAAAAAAATTAGGATAAACAAAGTATAATCAGTTATTTAAAATAATATACAATTTATTTATATAAAAAAATATCGCAAAATTGAATATTTACATTGAATATAAAAATATATATTTGCATTGAAAAAAAAATATTTATTTTTCATAAAAATTAGAATCTAATAAATTATTTGCTTTTAACAACAAATTAATTTCAAAGTTATTATCTATGAGACGTGCTCGTTTATCTCCAAAAATGAGCTTACCTAGACTGAACAAGCGCTCTACGGGAGCACTTGATGTTAGAACAACATTATATTTAATAAAGAGTAATTTTAACTTTGGAAAATCGTTATATAAAGAAAAAGTGTTGTTATTAGATTTGATAAAGTTTTCTATAAGTTCATTATCCAGAATATTTTGGCGCTTTAGGTCAAAAAATCCAACTACATCAAGTGATGTTGCAATCATTTTTTAAAATTTGAGTAATGTGCTTATGCTTTTGTTAGACTTGGTTCTTGTAAGTAATGATTAATAATTTAATATTAAATTCTAAAATAATCTGTCTTTGTTTTTCCTTATACTAAATTTAAAATTTTTTTTTATTATGTATGATATGAAGTTCCAATGCTTACTTGACGGAAAAAAATATATTGTGCTACATTTGTTACTTGAATTTGCTTACAAAATTATGAAGCCTAGCAGTAATGTAACAATTTAACAAAAGAAAATCAATTTGAACGGGAAATTATAACAATCAGACATTTTCACAAAATTTTAAATTAATAAATTTAATTTAAAAAATAAATTTAATTTAAAATTAATTTATCACAACATATTAATAATAAAATTAATTATTTAAATATATCTTTAAAAGTAACTAGTTACTTTTGGCAGTTACATTTCAAAAATTATAACTAGTTACAGTTACAATTTTAAAAATATAACTAGTTACAGTTATTTTTTAGCCAAAATGTAACTGTTACTTGTAACTAGTTACCTTAACATCACTAGCCAGGACGTAAATTATTTTTTAAAATTAATCCGGACCAGGCCTATTTTTTTTTAAAAATACCCGGACCAGGGCTGAAAATATAAAACCCGAGCCTGCCAGAATATTTTTTTACAAATCTAGGTTAAGTCATGCAATTGTTACATCTGCAGGACACTGATAAGTATTATATAAGGTAGATGAATATTTTTTAAAATATATTTTATATATATTATGATAAAAGATAAATTAAAGATTGTAGCATTTTAAAATTTGGATCCATACTGACCCCATGAATTATAGCATTTTTTTGACAATCCCTTTATGGGTTATATCAGGTGTATATCAAGGGGAGATAAGCTTCCCCGCTATTTATAACCCCCTTTCCAAATTTTGAGGGACTGAGCCTCGTTAAAAATTTCTTAAAATGCTAAAATTCTATACCTTTTCTCTTCATTAGTTATAAAAATATATATATAGTAAAAATAGAATTTATAGTCTCATAGAAGATAGAGAAACAAAGTTTTATTTTCATTATATATATTTTATTATTAACTAAAATAAAAATTTTGATTTGCCTCATTTTAACAATTTTTTTTATAGATATTAGGAAATTTTATCAGGTTAATAAAGGTTAAAAAAAATTGAAAATATTAATCCTATTAAATATTAAAACAAAGGCTAATAAAAACGGCACTGGCTGGAGAAAAAAAAATGCAATTACAATCGACACTGATTACAGGTTTTTAAATTTCTACATTATTTCAGTGTCGCCAAATCCATGACGACGGGACTCTCGACCCATTGAAATATACTATAAAATTGATGTGACCCCTTAATATTTTAAGCATCAAATTCTTTGAAAAATAATTATTACTCTATAAATTTTTATAAATCGCCACCTCTGCTCAGGATAACTCATTCAAAAAAATACAAGGTTTAGCCAATTTTTTCGACTGTTAGGATTGAGCTGATTTAACAAAACTATAGGCGAGAAATAGTCCAATTTTAATAAGATCTTTTGGATGTTATTCATAATATATGCTTTGCACTAGAGGTCTGCATTGGGCGGAGTTTCGGCCTAGAAATTGTAAATAGGTACTTTATTATATGGAACAATTTAAACAATAATATGTAATGTATAAACAAATATATATAATATTACATATAATACAATGAACAATATATAAGAAAAATAAACAAAGAGGAAAAGGAGGGGGGGGGGAACAGGCACAAAAAGTATTGAAGTTAAAACTAATAATCTTGTGGGATGAGACTGCCTATGAAACTAATGTAATTAGCCTTGTGTATCGTGGCGAGTCCTTGTCTTAAGAAGAAGCCTTCACGAGGTTCATCCGGTTTGCGTATGTGAGAGCCAAGTTCCTTGAAAAAAGATAAAGCACATTTCCCAAAAGTTGTAAGGGTTATAGAAATGATTGGAATGAATATGTATTCTTGAGAAATATTTACCTATTTTAAGTGACCCCTTTTTCTCAAGAATGTTAAGGGCTTGATTGGATGATGGAAGTGGATCAATACACAAGTAATCACAGACCAAGAATTGCCACCCATTCAAGGAATTTGAGAAATCCCATCAGGCCGTTATCCATCGGATCTCAAAAGACCGGAAGGTCAAGAATTTTTAAATAGGCAGGTTATTAAGATAAATCAATCTACCTTGAAAGAAATAATAAATTAGTTTTATCAAATTCTTCGGTGTCCTTTTGCCAGTGAACCATTTTTTTTTATTGATTGACTGATATTTAAAAAAAAAAGAATCATTAGGAACAAACTATAAATTTATATCATATAGATGAATATTTGTAATGTCACTCTATTCAGAAATTTTTTTTAAAAAAAATAAAAAATAAGCCAATTTAAAATTTATCTAAAAATTTTGTAGTCTCTCGTCTTATATATAGCTAAAACGGAATAAATTTTAATAAAAATATTTTTTCATTTTAGAAATCGTAAGGCAGATGGTAAAAGTTACGTTTGTGTGCTGATTTTAGGATAACTTTGAATCCGGGTTTAGTTGAGGTGAGATATTATTTGCCAAGGGTGGAGGAAATCCTAGCTAGTTTAAGAGGGGCTAGATAGTTTTCAAAGGTGGATTTTAGTAATGCCTATTTGCAATTAAAGGTGAATAAGAAGATGAGTGATAAGCTAACGATTAATACACCGAAGGGGTTATTTAATTTTTTGCGATTACCTTTTGGATTAAGTTTATCGGCCCTATTTCAGAAGGCCATGTCGGAAGTGTTTGCTGGAATTCAAGGGATATTTTATTATTTAGATGATGTGTTAATAGTGGGCAAAACAAAGGAATAACATAATAATAGATTGAGAATAGCTTTAGCAAGGATTTTAGAGAAAGGGTTAAGAGCTAATGTAAGGAAAATATCTTTGGAGTACAAGAGATAGAATATTTAGGACATAATATAAGAGGATATGAAATTAGACCCATGAATAAGAATGTTGATAGTATATTGAAGATGCGAGTGCCGAAAAATAAATTGGAGTTGCAGTCATTTCTGGGGATGATTAATTATCATCATCGTTTTATTGAAGATTTTGCGAAGTTGACGATTCCGTTATATGAGTTAATTAAGAAGAATAGTAAGTTTGAATGGGGAGATGGGCAGGAAAGGAGTTTTCAAAATTTGAAGCAAGAGATTAGTAAGAGTCTCATACTGGTGAGTTTTGATGAAGAATATGAGGTAATATTAACCGCAGATGCTTCTAATGAGGGGGTTGGAGGGGGATTGTTGCATATAATAGAGGGGAGGGAACGGCCGATATTGTATTTTTCAAGAGCTCTAAGTAAAGCAGAAAGCAATTATTCTGTCATAGAGTAAGAGGCATTAGCGTTAAAGGTAGGGTTAGTAAAATGTAGGGAATATTTAATAGGCAGAAGTTTTGTAGCATACACTAATCATAAGCCGTTGGTGGGGTTAATTAAGAAGGACAACAGGGAATTGTTGTTATCAGAACGTTTGCAGCAATGGTTGTTATTAGTTGGGTCATTTAACATGGAATTGAGGTATAGGAAGAGGAATTTTATGCCTGATGTTATGTCCAGGCTATGTGTGGGAGAGCCAATGGTAGAAGAGAAGATGGGGACGGTAGAGAGAAGATAAATGTAATAGGGGTTAAGAGAGAGAAAGATTATGTGAAGTGGGGTGAGTTAGTGGAGGCAACGAAACAAGACATGGAATTAAATAGAGTGGTGAGCAGTTTAAAGGGGGAGCGTGAATGGGATATAAGAGATAGGAGGTATGAGTTGTTGAAGGAAGAGTTAAGTTTGGTGGATGGGAATGTAGTAAGAGGTTATCGGGTGGTCATACCGATGTCTTTGAGAGTTTGTATTGGAGATGTTGCATATGGGGCATCAGGGGGTGAGTAAGATGAAGAAAGATGCGAGAGAGTATATATGGTGGCCAAGTATTAATGCGGAGATTGTTGGGTTAGTGCATAAGTGTGAAACGTGTAATGAGTGGAAAGCTGTGCCGGGTAGGAATAAGAGAGATAAATGGGAAAAGGCTCAGAGGGCTGGTGAGAGGGTACATGTCGATTTCTTTGAGTTGGATAGGTTTTATTTTTTAATGGTGGATGCGTATAGCAAATGGATAGATTTTCATAATGTGACAGAATTGACCACAAAGATAGCTATTAAAAAGATTAAGGATTTTTGTGGGAATTATGGGATTATGGAAACGATTGTTTCTGATTGAGGTCCTGCTTTCCAGGGTAAAGGATTCAAAGAATTCTGTGGGAGGTTAGGAATAATACATATTATGTCTCCACCTAATTATCCCCGCTCAAATGGTCAAGCAGAACGGATGGTGGGGATAGTAAAGGGATGGTTAAAAAAGGAGAAATATGGGGAGGGAAAGGTGTGGTTAGCACAATTATTTTATAATAATTCAATAGGCGTAGGTGGATCACCATCAGAATTATTTTTGGGAAGGGTAACTAGAAGGCCATTGGATATATTAAGAGAGAAAGGGAAGGGGAAAGCAGAAAAGAGGGAGGAGTTGATGTTTAAAGTGAAAATGAAGGTATGGGTATTGGTCTGGAATCGTCCATGTAAGTGGGTAAAGGGAGTTGTAACGAAAAATATTGGATGTAAAAAGATAGAGGAAATATTGGAGAAGGGGAGGGGGATACGGTAGTTAGACACATTAAACAATTAAGAATACGGGTATAGAAGGAAATAGGTGAGGATATTTTAGAAAAGATGGATGCGGTGCGGATATCGTATTATAAAAAAATATTAAAGAGATAAAAGTAAATTGTGTTAGGTGAATTTTGGGGATAGGAAGATTGAATAAAATATTGTAGTGGGGATTGAATTTTAATAAAGGGAGATGGATTTTTACGAATTGTAATGGGTAACTGATTTAGTACTAAGTATGATAAATATTAGATAAAAGGAAAGGAAAGAAGAGTTATAAGAAGGGCTTAGAATTAATTGAATAATTAAGGAATAGATATAAGGACAAAGATTTAGGGAGTTAATAGATGGAGGGTAATCGGACAATTAGAATATTTATAAGATATAATTTAATATTTTATTTTAGTAAGACATTAATGATATTTCGAATTAATTCTTATATATAATTAGGTTGAATGAGAATTATCGTGCAAATATTGTTGAGTATAATAAAGCGTTAAAAAGTGGTAGGAGAGATGCAGCTGTTTTATATTTTGTGGATAATATAGAAAAATATTAGAGTATAATTCATGGGAAAAATGTGAATGTTATGTAAATAGAAATAAGATAACGTAATATATAGTATTAGATGTTTTATACTAGTGTTAATTTGGGGGTAATGTTATGTTTTTTTTAAAAAAAAGATGTAATGTAACACGGATTATATTATATGTTTCGTAATGTAATGTTAAGATAAAAGGATATTGATTTTTTAAGTTATAGATATAATATTATGGGTAAAAAGAGAAGAGAAGTAAAAGTTATTGTAATGGAGAAATTTGGTAATAATATATTTAAATTGAAATTATATGGAAATTAGTAAGGGATAAGATTTTGTTGGAGTTGGTTAAATAGATAAATAATTGGTGGGGGTTATATTTAATTATAATTAAGGTTAGTTATTGTATAGAAGAAATTCTGTTTTGCTTTTGTAATATAATTTTGGTTTATTTTCGATTAAAATTGGAGGTTTTTGGAAATGTTGTGATTTGAAGCATAATTGTATTTATATTTGTTTGATATTAGATAATGATTATGGTATAGGTGGGTGATTTTAAATGTAATTTTGGTTTATTTTCGATTAAAATTGGAGGTTTTGGAAATGTTGTGATTTGAAGCATTGTTGAAAATTAATTGTATTGATATTTGTTCGATTGTTTTTTTTTTAATTTATGTTAAATAAATTGTCTTATGTAGGTTGATGGTGATGAGGGAAAATGGAAGGAATGTATGTTTGTATATATATAATTTAGTATTAATATGTATAATGTAAAAAAAAAGAAAAGAAAGAAGATAATATATATTTAATGTTAATGAGTGATTGAAAAAATATAAATATTTTAAGACAATTTATATGGTGGTAACGTTAGAATATGGTGTTTTTAAATATTTTTTTTGGAATGGATGTAGCAAGAAATGATTATATATTTATGTAGTTTTTGAGAACAATGTTATATGTATAAAATAATAGATATTGATATTGTCAAGATGTTGTTTTGTTTTATATTTAAAAAAAAAAGAAGAAAATTATTAGAAAAAAAAGAATTAAAAGTTAAAAAAGAATAAAAAAAAAAGAAAAGAAGGGTATTTTGGTTTTAGATGATTAGATGGGAGGTGAAATGATCAATTGAGATTGGAGGATGAATAATGAGGTCATTTGGGGATTGATGATGATTGATGGGTATTGTGAATGAGACAAGATGGAGAATGATTTGGAGAACAATGGTGAATTAGATGTGAATGATGAAGAATGGGCAAATGATTAACAATGGTAATCGTCAAATGGTGATTTGGGGATGATGATGAATGATGGGTATTGTGAATGAGACAAGATGGAGAATGATTTGGAGAACAATAGTGAATTAGGTGTGAATGATGAAGAATAGAATGATGGGTATTGTGAATGAAACAAGATGGAGAATAATTTGGAGAACAATGGTGAATTAGATGTGAATGATGAAGAATGGGAATGGGCAAATGATTAACAATGATAATTGTCAAATGGTGATTTGGGGATGATGATGAATGATGGGTATTGTGAATGAGACAAGATGGAGAATGATTTGGAGAACAATGGTGAATTAGATGTGAATGATGAAGAATGGGAATGGGCAAATGATTAACAATGGTAATTGTCAAATGGTAATTTGGGGATGATGATGAATGATGGGTATTGTGAATGAGACAAGATGGAGAATGATTTGGAGAACAATGGTGAATTAGATGTGAATGATGAAGAATGGGAATGGGCAAATGATTAACAATGGTAATTGTCAAATGGTGATTTGGGGATGATAATGAATGAAGGGTATTGTGAATGAAAGATTGTTGGTAAAGGGGGGAAGTGTCGTGATGACGTTTCACGATGATGACGTTTGACGTTGAAGAAATGATATGATGTCAATTAATATATATATAGATATATATAGAGATACGTATATGTATATGTGAATCTTATTCATCAAATAAAAGATAATCTTTAATAAAAATACTCAATCAAATCTAAGATAATCTTACTATATATTTATTCCAAAATAAATTGGCCTAACGCAATAAAATGAATTTTCCAAAAATTCAAAATTAATTAATATAAAACTATTGTTGGGCTTCGACAATATATCACTAAGATATTCCTATGAATATCTTTAAAAAATCCTTAACTGCGTGGATACTTTATCCTCCATTATTGTCGAGTGTGAATGGGGCTTTCATCTTATGAATTTTATTATGATAGATTATCGAGCGAGTTTAAAGGTAAATAATTTGTCAACTGTTAATAATTATTAAAGGACCTTCGATATCAGAGTGAATTCCAGATCCAAATATCAAAATGAAATCATGGAGCGAATAAATAAAATCTTTTCAAAAAAAAATACAGTCTAAAAAACGAAGAAATGAAAGATTTATGGAATTTTAAAATAATTTTTATAGATATCAATAATTGTTACATTATTTTTAAAATATTATATAAATAAAGAATTTATTCATATTCGTAATAAAAAAAAATCGATTTTATAATATAAAAAAAATTGTAGCCACCCTGTCAAACTTTTAAGCAATACATCACTCGTTATAATTCTAAGTTGAACTGGACTTATTTTAGTGCAAAGGTCTGTAAACAATACATGAATCTGATCTACATAATAAGGTTGAACATATTAATATACTTTATTCATATTTTCTTTCACACTCATTTTTAAAATATAAATATAATGAAAATTATTCAAATGTAGACAAAAATATATTATATTGTGTGGTATATATATTTTTTTAGTTGAGAACTTATTATATAGCCTAAGCTGAAAATAATAAAGAAAAAATTATATTTACCAAAAAGAAAATGTGAATAAAATGTATTTATAGTAAACTTTTAATTTATTCCTGATTAATATATACAAAGTCAAAGGGGGAAATATAAATTGATTGGAAATGCGCGTTTACGTTTTCTGAATTGATCATTATAAAAATAAGTTTAGCAGGGTAAAACATTTGATTATATATACATGATATAAATACTCAAATATAAATCGTAGAAAACATTGTATAAAGGTAATAAATATAATATATTGACTATTCAATTTTTAAATACGACCCAATTGTTTTCAATTGAATTGTATAAGTGCTAATAAGCATTATGGCCAGAAAAGTTAATTTTAATGAATAACAATTAACAAAATTCTTACACTTTTATCTTGAATGTGAAAGCATATTAATAAGAATTTTTTAATATTTCCCTTTATTGCCCATCAAATTTATCGCAATATTGATCCCTCAAAACGTTAGTATTTGAATTATTCGATTGATTCATATATTGAGAGTTATGGCTTTGAAATATGTTATTGTAAGGATTCGAATTATTATAAAAATGACTACTATTTACTATATGGTCTAAGTTATAATTAGGGTTATTTGAGGTATTGTAAAAATTGGGATTAGGATTTGAATTTAATACACTCTGACTGTGAGAAGAAAAAGTGTGTTTGAGTCCAGTAATAGGCTTAAGCATTGGCAAAGAACAATTGGAATTATTAAAAGGGGAAACTGATATGGGTAAAGCAATGGAGGGCATAGTGTTTTGTATAAGGGGTAATGGCTTTAAGTTGATTGGTAATTTATCGATCATGTTTGTCAGATTAGGGTGATTTGAAATTATTAGGTTATTTCCATCATAATTTGCGTCTCTACCTGAAACATAGGCATTCACCAAACGATTATTGTTATAATTTATGCTGTCGGACTTTGTGTTACGATAATTATTATCACCACCATTTTCTAAATTGTAATTATCCCAACAAGAGGAACTTGAAGCATTTGCTAGATTAAGTGATGATGAAGTCACCTTTGCAGCTACTGACTTTTTGAGACCGCATTTTTCTAACAATAGCTGGGCTCCTATTTGATCCACTTTACGAACAGATATTCCAGATGTAAAATTATTTCCTGAAGTCCGTTCAATGAAACAGTTCGATGATGTTTTGATTGATGGGTTTGTGGTTAGTGTATCAGGGGGGTTCTGTAAAGTATTGGAATCGCGTCTCATGAGACTGAAAATGTTTTTGGCGATTTCCCGATCGGCCATCTCTATCATATTCGAATTAGGATTAATACTTGTGTAAGAAGATAAGGCTAAAAATATTTCAATAACAAGATTTAAAAAAATTTATGTTCATCATTTTAATATTAACTATATAAAAAGCAGAATCGCGGAACGAAACTGTAAGTATAAATCGGGGCTGGCAAGCAGTTTATTTGACCGATCAAATACTCTTAAAATAGTATTTTGTGAATAAACATATATAAATAAAGTTACGCACTTTGATAGAATGAAAAAAGAATTTATTAAACAGTTGTATAAACCCCTCCCTCTTTAGTATAAGAAAAGTTAAAAATTAATCCTAAAAAACGATATTAATAAACTGAGTAAAAATGGCAACCCTCTAATCGACTTAGAGGAAAATATTTTTTCAAGTACACCCCATGAATTCGATTTTTCTGCCATAACAAACTGACCAATCTGAAATAAAAAATAACAAAAGCAAATATATCAACGAAAATAATAAAAGTTGACAAAATATTAGCAAATGTTATATTCGCAAGAAATTTACCATTTCACATCAGTGAAAAATAGATGCTCTTAACCGATTTCCTTTTTTTAATAAACGTGAACTATTAGAGGCATTAGAATTTACCGGTCTTGCTAAGCATTTGCTTTAATTGCGCCTATCTTTGCTAATTCCATAAAATTATCAATAAAGAACCAGGAATATATAATATTCCCAAGTAATGCTAAATTTCATACTCGATATTTTTTGAAAAATTCTTTTATTTAAATTTATTATAAAAAATAGAGATGTACCGATACCACTTTTTGGGGGCCGATATCATATCTAATTTTGTATTCTGTAAAGATACCAATGGTTTTAATTTTTAATATACTTTTTATTAGTATAACAATTAAAATTTAACTATACCATAACTTATGTCATTTAAATAAATTATAATGATCAGTTATAGTTTATATTCAATTCAATTGCAATTCTAAAACTATATAAAATATTTTTATTGTTAAATCACTTCTATATAATAAGTAATAACATTAATCTATATACATAAGTAATAAACAAATATATTATGAAATTTGAAATATAATTTAACATATCGAAGATTTCTTTTTAGAAATACCAAAATTTCCAATTTATCAGAGGTCAGCCTGCGGCGATGGTAACTGTCAATATCACCAACTTCACTAAAAACATATTCTGAAGAGATTATCGCACACTTTTATAATCAGAATGCGCAAAAAAATAAGAATATGGCAGAATGTTTATTAATTAATTATCATTAATAAATAAATATACATAAAATGGATTTCGATTTTATTTATAAAAATAAATGATTTTAGATATAACTTTTTTAAAAAATGTTATAACATTTTATTTTTGTTAATGACGCCATTTTATATCGGATCGGATCGGGAAATTTTATAATATTGGCCGATAACCCATATTTTAAAATGGGTGACATATCGGCCCGATCTGATCCGATAAAAGATATCAAGGAATCTATATATATTTTTTAAATAAAAAATTAGAACTTTGTAAGCATATTTATCTTATATTTAAAAAATAATTTTATTATTATGGATAAATCCCACAAATTTGCATTCTAAGTATATAAAAGAGTCTAAATTTTTTAAGATCCATTTCTGAACTTAGCTAAATAAGAATTTGGGACGAAAAAAATGGATCTAGTATATTTCTAATGAAAATTCATATATAAGAGATTTTTTTAAAGAATTCTCAATCAAAAGCAATTGGTGAGGCTTCTTAAATAAAGCTCTTGGAGAAGTAAAAGTGAGGTTATGATGATACTATATGTAAAGCTTGCCGTGTATCAATTGTTTCAGATGGCTGAATCAATATCACAAATAAAAGCATTTTTTATAATAAAACCAGTTGCAATTTTTTAAATAATACCTATGGAAATAATGCAATTAGGACTGGCTTACAATTCTATTGTATTGGTATTGAAATTAATTATTAAACATACAACATGGAAAAGAATAAAAATTATTTTTTTATTAATATAAAACTCCTGTGTTTAAAATAAATATCAACATTTTCAAAAAGGATACAAGTTGGAAGATTGTTCTCATTAGAACAGGTTACAGACTTAAATAATTGATATGAATGTATTTACATAGATAAAAAAATATTGCTATAACAGATGCTAAAATTATATAATAAATATCAGAGACCAGCAGGCCTGGGTACAGGGGCCGAGCCTTAATTTTTTTTATAAATACCCGGGCTAGGCCGTATATTTTAAAACCAAATATTTTAAATAGCCATTATTATATAAAAATATAAAACCCGGGGCGAGCCGATAAATTTTTTAAAAAAATCCGGGCCAGACCGTGCATTGCAGGTCTCTGATAAATATAGAAGTAATAATTATTGCACTAATATTAGGGATGTACCGATATTTTTTATCGGATCGATATTTCACCCATTTTAAAATAACGCTTATCGGCAAATATAAAATTTAGATCCAATAAAAAATGGCGTTTTTAAGAAAAATAAAATATTATTAAATTTTTTAAAAAAGTTAAATATAAAATCATTTATTTTTATAAATAAAATCGAAATCCATTTTATGTTTATTTTTATTAATAATAATTAATTAATAAACATTCTGCCATATTGTTATTTTTTTTGCGCACTTTGTTTATAAAAATGTGCGATAATCTCTTCATAATCAGTTTTTAGTGAAGATGGTGATATTGACAGTTACCATCGCTGTAGGCTTGACCTCTGATGAATTGGAAATTTTGGTATTTCTAAAAAAAAAAATTTCGATATATTAATTTTAAATATTTATTTCAAATTTCATAATATATTTGTTTATTACTTATTATGTAAATAGATTAATGTTATTATCTCAATAAAAATATTTTATATACTTTTAGAATACAATTGAATTGAATATAAACCATAACTGATCATTATAATATATTTAAATGACATATGTTATGGTACAGTTAAATTATAGATGTTATACTAAAAGTATATTAATAATTAAAACCATTGGTATCTTTACAGAATACAATTAGATATGATATCGGATAAGTGGTATCGGAATACCCCTAACTAATATATTTTGCGATATAAAAAATGACTTATATTTTTAAATAATATTGGCATTTAGTGGTATTGGTTTTAAAACATGTACAATATCAGATTTTACATTAAATTATATTAGTATTGAAAACCAAGAAAATACTGATACCAGCTCTAAAAGCTATTGTATTGCCCATCAATTTAAAAATTAAATCCTAGAAAAGTTAATTCCTTGTTTTCGGATAACGCGGCTAATATCAAAGCAACTTGGAATGAGTCACAATAATATCATTTTTTAAAAGATAAATGCATGCCAAGTGCTGTATTTTATAGCTATAGAAACCAAAGGTGGGCTTCCTATATCAAATGTATGCTAGAAAAATTTGCAAAAGAGCTCTAAGAGCATCCGTCGATGGACTTTGTAATAGATGACTAAGATAAATGAGTGATATAATATTTTAAAAGAAATTTAGAATGCATTATAATATAATATAATGCATAAATCGAAATAAACAAAAAGTGAAAAAAACTACAATATTTGCCACAGCATATTCAATATTTTTAACAATATTAACCACGTGATTCCTTGATTGATTATCGTTTGCAGAATGCAGACCTGTGACTTGTTAGCCACTTATTAATATATGGAGAAGAATTTCACTTACTGAGAGGAGGCCCATTAATGTTTATCATCAATAAACCGGAATTTGACTTAAGAAAATCCGTCATAATGACATTCATAAGATGAAAGCCGAGCTCACATTCAGTAGTACTACAAGAATTTATGTTAATACAATTATAAAACTCTTTCAAATCACGGGACATTTATTACCTTCATTATTATCAACAATGTATTCCCTCATCCCATTTATTGCTAGATAGCCAGAAACAAATTTTAATTTGCTCTTCCTCATAAAGAATGTGAGGATACGCTGGCCAGTTATCTTTTCCTAAATATTCCATTAGATTAGTTTGCTAAAAAGATAAACCTTTATAATTTAATAAAGTAATTTTAATTAGTAGAATTATCGAAATTAGCATCCATTAATTTCTTTTGCATATTGTTTAATAAGGCAGATGAATTGATATTCTGTCTTCTATTTTTCTTCAAAATTACTAATCCAAATTTATTTATTTCCCTAGCTTCTTGAACCATTTTCATATCTCTTACTTTAGGAATAAATAAGCTTTCATTTAAAATTATAAAGGAGATTTAGAACCTGCCAGGCTTTGAACACAGATAGTTTTCTTTATTGATTTTTTTTGTCTGAAGTCTTAAAGGATTAGATAATTCAAATTGAACATCATACATCAAGGATAATTTTATAAGAATTCACCATTTTGTAATAGAAGAAAAGCCCGTTAAATTTTGCACTGTTGGTAGAATTTGTTGATTGAAATACTAATACAGAGCCTCATAGTTATTTCACTTAACGTAGACTGCTAGAAACCCATCATATATCAAGTACCCTACCCATCTTCAGCAACTAATGCCCAATTAAGACGTTATTTGATCCAACGCTTGTTGATTTATGTTAAACTGACTATATAAACTATAATTTGTGTAATAAAGGCTTAAAAGTTATTAACGCCTTTAATATTTTTGGTGGATTGGACATCGCTAATTCTAAATAGTGATTTAAACAATATCAGAGTGTGATCATTGGATATTTTTTTCTAAGAACCAATTAAATAGGAAAGATTCGTTTCTGAATTAAAGATGCACAAATACATTAATATACTAATATTTTGTTTATAAAGTATTTTATAATGTATAGTAAAACATATTAATAAGCTAAAATACCATTATAAAAAAATAAAATATTATGGGAAGGGGCAGCTGCTCCCTAATTTTTTGAATTCTATATGAGGTGGCATGATTACTGTATATAATATCAAATATAATTAATAATGTCATAAAACACTGTATTTGACCGATCAAATACCAAACCCAGGTAAAGATGGATAAACCTAACAGTTCGATGCTTTCATAATATCTATAAAATAAAGCTATATTCTCATTATATTTGTATTATTAACGAATATATATTTAATTATTTATAAACATGTTATATATATTAAAATTTTTGGTTTTACATAGAGATAAAAGTATAAAGTTGAGTGTAGATGTACATCTTCTACCCTCATTTGGATGAAAGAAGTGGCTATATATGTTTCACCCCAAAATCACAAAAATGTAAAAAATAATTATATATATATATCATTAATTAAACTGCAATTGATGGTGATTCCGCATATATAAAAATATATATATTTCTTTAAAAAAATTTTTTTTCAAGATTTCCAAATATATATTTATTTATTAATTAAAGATGCTCAATTAAATCTTTACTCAGAAACTGTAAGTGTTTATTAACAATATTATTTTTTTACATTTTCGTGATTTTGGCCAAATATTTTCTATATTTTTTTTGATAGTTTTTTATATTTTCTAGATTTTGTGGAATAATCGGCTACACAACAAAAACCAGTTTATATATAAAAAATTTAAGTGGATTGTTTAAATTAAATCAAGCGTAAATTCGATCAATCCAACTGCCTCTGACTCATATTGTATTATTCATTCATGCAGTTAACGCTAAGTAGGTATTAAAAATGTTTTTCTCATTATATTCACACCATAAGGCAACAATATAAATGACAATATGAGGTTATATTAAAACTTGAATAATACAAATTAAATTTAAAATAAAATATTGCGATAATAAAACTAAAACAAATATTTCTGCAGTATCTGCGGTCCTAATAAAAAGGAATAGATAATCTTTAAAAGTAACTTGAGTCCATATGGTCAGTGTCTGGATAAATGCAAATAGATTTATTCGAAATATTGAGGGTAGAAGAAGGATCAGATGATGTGTGTGGTTGCGAATTCATGTTTGGACCTATTTTAAAAATAATTAGTGAAAATGGAAAAATATATGAAATAGGTCGTAAAATTTGCATACATTTGAATGAGAAAATAATTGCTACCCCAAGAGTACTAATTATTATTTATTTTTCTACGTGCTTTAATTGAATTTAAGAGTTAAAATTTGTAATGAGTAATTATTATCACTAAACCTATATCTTTGGTTAACCCAGATTGCAAAATATCTGATAAAGATTTGGAAGGAATAGAGGTATGGGGTATTTCATATGCCATATTGCCTGCTATTTCTATAATGATATATAAATAATAAGATACTATAAAATGTACAAATATTTTTAATGAATATAAATTCATGAAAACAAAAATTTAAACTCCTAATAAATGTTCATGCTAATTTAAGCATTAATTTTAAAGGTTTAGATGAATTGTTATGAATATAGATCTGAAATTAATATTTAAAAAGATAATATTAATCATAATTTTTAAACTTAACAATTTGAAAGAGGTTTTACTTGTCAATCGAGATGTAATTACAGAACTTTGGATAGAAGATAAATTATTGGCATATTCTTCATTCAAGATAGGTGGATTAAAATTATCGGTATTGATTTTAAAATTATTTTCTCCACTTTTATCTTTATAATTGTCGGTATTTTCGATCCTAAGTATATTATTATTAGCATTTTGAGGAGGCTCAATAAACAAATAATCATTCCCTTCGAAACCAATCGGTATAGATAGCGTTAACTTGTTTATTTTATCATTGGCCTCATTTGCATCATTATTTTTAAGAATGGAGTTACTACTATTTATTCTGGCAATACTTGGAAAAGGATCAGGTTTATTGGCTTGATCATTTAAATTATTTTTTATGCTCTCAAACGAAGATATGCTAGAAGAAAAGATGTCTAAAAACTCTCCATTCACTACATCATGAGTTTTATCATCTAAAGTAGTATGGGTAATATTTGTGTTTAGATCATTCCGTGGGCTATCACAACAAGGAAAATCAATATTTCGAGTATTGACTTCTTCAAAATTATTTGTAATTATACTATTTTTATTAAAAGTAGAATTGCCAGAGGGGCTTAAGATATTTTTGAGAGAGAGTGCATCGGTTTTATTATTTTTACCTATATTGCTGTTATTGGTTTTATCAAGATTTATCGAAGTGTCGGGGGATGAAGGGGAGCTACACAAATCTATCACTTCAAAACTTTGAAGTTTATCAGTTTCTTTTTCTTTCACTAACACGTCATTCGCTTTTTCCGTAATAATTTTCTTACCACTAATACTATTATAAAATATTAAGCTTAGATCCTTCGAAGAATGGTAGGAATTAGAAATTGAATAGTCTGAATCATTTTCATTGAGTTCAGAGCTAGAAGTAGTGGAATAGATAGTATTAATATGTGTAGTGGATGGTATATATGAATTTGTTTTGTTATTTCTTTGGGTAGTTTCTGAAACAGTATTAGTAGTAGTAATGCTATCTATTATGAATGTTAAAAGAGGGTTTAAAATAATAATTTAATTAGTAAAACATTAAATTGAATATAACACCTTCATAAAGTCAACATTAAATGATAAATTAGATCATCCCTTTTAAAGAAATCAAATGTTAATCTGATGGTCAATTAAAGGGGGGGGGAGTATAATAAAGGTGGTCACGTTTAGAGGCTTCATAGTACTAAGAATTGGTAGTTTTTTAAAATCTTTAATATTTTATAATTATCAACCTTCTGGCTGGACCATTTTAATTTATACTCTTAATTTTGACAAATTTAAAAATAGGAAGTTCCTTTTTTGCTCTTTATAAGAATTGATGGATATACTTAATCTTCTGCAGTTACTTCTCCTTTTTTAAAATCTATACACCTATTATATGAAATATTTTCCGTCCCCATCTCACCGATTATTTCTTTTTACTTATATTATTTATATAAACTTTCACCTTTATTTTTGCCAATTTTGCGTTGTATCACCTTCCTACCCTTTTTACGTTTTATCCTCACCAGGCTTGTGTTATTTAAATTTTCGTCACTACTGCTACTCAACACATGGTTGATACTTGATGGAGCTATTTTATTGTTTTGAATCAAAATGTTTGAATTCAAAATATTTGCCATATTTATAATTAGACTATTAGTGCTTTCATCGAGAGTTCCTTTGCAAGTGAGAATGGGTGGTTTATCTAAATTTGAGTTGTAACAAACGGTGTTTTTTTGTTTAAGGACTAGAAATTTAAAAATAAAAAAAATATGATTTTAAAATAATTCTTCTAAACCCATTTTTTAAATGAAGATTTAAAATAAAATAAACGGGTAGCTGGGGTAATGGGGTCCAGTTCATATAAAATTAGTAAAAGTATAACGAACTAAAAATATATAAAAAAAGATAGTTCAAAAATTACTTATATAATGAGATTGTAAAAGTTTTGCATTTTAATTTATATTAATTGTATAACAAAAGATTATATTATTCCTTGCTATAGTTCATTGATAGTTTGCTATAGTGAAAAAACCGAAATTAATAATTACCATTGGCTCTAATAGTATTGCCGCTATTCGTATCAGTTTCCAGATCACTAACATGGGATTGTTTATCATTATCAAGGCTGGTCTCTTTGGTAGTTTTCTTTACAATTTTTTCACTAAACGGTCTCCAAGAACCATCCTGAAAAAATTCTACTTCTTTGAAATCAGGGGCCGAGCTCAAAATTTCCATAAACAAGCTTTCGTTTTAATTGAGGAGGGAAATGAGACATTAAAGAAGTATATATGACTTAAATATAAATATTTTTCTGAAATTTCCCCAATTCCATGTTTCCTCAATAAAATTGCTAATATTTTTTATAAATGAAATGCAAATGGTAATGTTCACAAAGAAATAAAGGTAAATAAATATAAGGGAAAAGAAACAAGCAAATAAATTGAAAGAAAATTATTCTTTGTATATTTTGGAGGTGAATAAGTAAGGGAATAGGTAGGTAAATAAGAAAAAATAGACAAATAGAAAGGTAAAAATGAGAAAAAAACAAATCATTCGCATAAACCTATCCACACTCAAGGACTGATAAAGAGCAGGTCCGTGACATACGGGGCATATCCATTTGCTGTTTTTTTCGTTCATAGACAAGTATGAATTGGCGTCAAAACATTGAAAATGAGCACAGGTCACGGATCGGCACGCATGAATCATACGGCATTTGGAAAGCTTATTTTGTATGTATATAAATCATATAATAAGTCTAATATATTTCAATCTGTTCTTCGTCTCCCATCCCTTATTTCCTTATTAATTTAATTTTTTCTTGAAATAAAGGGGATTGGGAGTAAAATGGTTAGAGAATTATATTTGCAAACCAAATTTAATTTTTTAAGTTAAACAAACCTTTCCATTATATTTTTAAATTATCTTTAAGGTGTAAAATATGGTTAAATTCGATAAACAAATAAATTATCTAATGTTAAAATTATATAATCAGTACAAATATAGCAACGAGAAATTAGATGTATTTACTCCCTCGAACAACTAAGATGTCTCACAGTTAAATTAAGTGATTTTGGTGAACCTAAAAAAGGTATAATAATTCAATTATCTATTGACTTCATATTCACATCTCAAATGTTATTTTATAAAAAATATACCGGGCACAAAAGAGAAATTCTTAAACTAGTTGTGGCTATTTCTAGATCATCGGCCCCACATTTCAACTTTTCTTTGACTGAATTATGTAATTAATTGTTTTAGAAAATAAAAATGGGCATTATATTATATATAAATTTTTGTTGCTTAAAAAATAAGAGCATGGATTTAAAACCCCAGATAAAATCTGGCATTAATTTTTCTCTATGATTCTAAAAAATTGTAGAAAATATTTTTTTGTATATAATAAATTAATGATGCAAAATAGCTCCATTTGAGCCTATTTTTCAAAATTGCTAATTTAATATAGCAAGAAAAATATTGCCTAAGCCTCGATTTCGCTAATAGATGTCAAAACCTTTGTACCATCTATGAGCAAAATCTTCAGTTTTGCGCAATATTTTTCTGGATAAAATACTGAGATAGCCATTTTTAAAAATCGGCTCAATAGATATTTTGCATCAATAGAATAGGTGTTTTTAATGACCTTTAATATTTAGGTCAAATATGTTTAAATAACAAATATATTACGATTCTAAAACCTATCATTGTTAATTTAACTACTTGTGAGTGCTATGTAATTGGCACATTATATAGTGGTGTGAACCCATTCTATTTATATGTCAATATTGAATCAAAAAATATATTTTTTATTTAAAAAATATCACTATGCAAATGTAAAAATAATAAAATATTATATATAGTATTAATTTTTACTCATATATCTAGTGGCAGTTGCCCGTAAGTAACTTTTTGAGGTCAGTTTTTGGAGCAAGGATTGTGTTGTATTTTTTCGCACCAGAAATAGGGCCATTACATGAGCCTTTATGTTGATAAAATATTTTTTACAATAAATTCAAATATTAAAATCTGATGATACTTATATATTGCAAATGAAGTGCTTTAAAATTTGGTGGGGATAAAAACATTGAATGATGTATATTTTACAAAACAAACTTTATATTTAGTGAACTTAATTTTTTTTGAATTATTATATAAGCTAGATAATTTTGATATAAGCAGTAATAAGATTGGAAACTAAAAGGGAATATTTTTAAAAAAGCAGTTCAGGGTTCCAAAAATTTAAAAAGGATGTTATTCAAATAGACGCGGTTCAGAGGGTTCCAGGTTCTTTAAAGGTTCCAGTTTCAAACCTGTTAAAGTTATTTTAAAAAATTTAAGTTTAAGCAATAAATAAACCCTCTATAATAAATAAAACATTTGATATTAGAAGTAGCTCCGGAACCGATTCTTGGAAATAAAGTGAGTACTGATCCAGTTCTTTGAAATTTTAAAATGAGTTCTGGTTTCTTAGAAATTTTAAAAGAGGAGTTCCGTTCCTATATTTGTCCCGGTTCCGAGTGTTCCAACACCTGGATGTAATATGGGAAGAGTTGCAAGTATGCATATAGAGCAATAAAAAGATTTAATAATTCAAAATATCGCGCGGGGTAAGGTGAAATCAAGGTGGTATGACGTTTTTACCAAAATAAAAGTCTTTAATAGTGGTAGAAATTTTTTTAAAATATTTGTGCGTTATAAATGTTTATACAATTATAAAAAAAATTGATATTAAACTAAATAAATAAGAATTTAACGTGTACTTTTTATCCATTCTCTTTAAGTTTTTCTAAAAGAAAACCGCTGAAAATTAATTCTTTTGTTTTGGGGACATAATTCTAAAACAAGGTAAAATGAGTTTATAACATTTCAAAATATTCATTTTACGCAAGTGTATAATATTTGCATATATTTTTTTTTATCTTTTGCACCTGATGAATTTGGTGAAATTCAGCAAGATTATTATATAATGCTTAATTTTCGGTAAGAAAAAGTCTATTACAACATTTGGAAATTAAGGGGAAAAAGCGTTTTCTTTCCTTCAACCTCAAAGAGATCAATATATCGTATTTATCACATCAACCCTTTTAAAACAACAAGCAGATCCTTTTAGCTCTTTAATAATTACAACTTGTACAATCATATAAGGTTGCACAAAGAAACTGTAAATAATTTTTTTCGATCAACAATGTGATGAGAGATTATCACCCTCTGTACAAGGACAAAGAAAAATTTTGTTATATAATCGCAATATTTTATTAAAAACTTAGGTTACAAGGCATTTGTCTTAAATTAAAAAATTTTTGCTTGTATCTATAATAAGTAATGTTGGAAAAGGACTCAATTTTAGCCGATTTTTCTAACTTAATATTTTATCCAGAAAAATATTATACAAACTTTTAGATTTCTCATGGATGGCACAAAGGTTCGGGTATCTATTAGCAAAATCTCGAGGCTTAGGCAATATTTTTCTGGCGAAAATATTGAGTTAGCGGTTTTTAATAATCGGATCAAATAGAGCCATTAAACACTATTAATAAGCATATTTTATTTTTAGGATGATGTAATGACAAATGAGAATGAATCATTGGACATTTATAGATTGATCTAATATTAAACCATATATAATTAATTTTAAAAACTCCTTAAATCTTTTTAGCTAAAAAATTTTTCGCATGCGTCTTAGGTTGCGTCCAAAACTATTTTAAAAAATTATGCTAAATTTTTGAAATAAAATTTTCTAGATTTATTTTAGACATGCTTTTATTTTCATTAAAGTTTCGAAAATTTGTAAATTAAATTTTTTGATGTTTTAGCAGGTAGAGAAAAAGAGATTATAAATGAATAGAAAATCATAAAAATTATTATACCATTATTAAATTATTGTTCCCCATTCCATTTTGAGCATTCATATTGAATGGGGAGCTATTATTTGCGTTATGAAACGAATTATTCCAGCTTATATTGATTTGATTATCGAGCATAGGGGATAATTTTACTAGCGGAGTTATGTTTATAGGACGGCCTGGTCTTTTTGGTTCAGTAGATGGCGGTTTGGGTGGTAAGGGAAGCTTAAATTTTAATTTTTATAAAATACTATGGCAAAATAAGAATTACAGATGTCATTAATATCTGTGTATCCTTAATTTTTTATATACAATATAGAGAAAATATTATATAAAACCAATACAATCGTAATGTATCGTATTGTTAGTCAACCCTATATACAGGTATTTTATTAAAATATTGAAAAGATAGAAGATATTTGTATCTTTTTCTAAATTGCGTATCTGATACTTGATAATTTTTATTAAAAAGTTTATCTATTCCTTACACACAATAGGCTATAATTGAAAAGAGGTCAAGATAAACTCTTTTCATAAAAAAATAATCATCATAGCTTCCCAGCTATAAAAGGTGTATGACCCAAATAAGAAAAGAGATGTATAAAACAACTAGCAGAAGTATATAAGAAAATACCATAAATATGTTGATTTTTTCAAAGAGCGAAAAAAAATAAATTCCAAATCAATGACATACATATTCTATGATTTTAATTTTTTTTAAAAGGTTTAGATATTTTTTAAAGTACCTAAAACATTAACAAACACATATAATTTTGACTAGAGCATTGCGAATTTATTATTTTGGCCTAAACCCAATCTGGCTCAAATATTTTTAAATTATTAGACCCGAGCCCGAATTTTTATTTTTTAAAGGTATTTTTAAGGATCAATACAGTAAAAATTACTTATTGAATTGTCTTTGTCACAAATAAATTATAATTTTTTATTGATAAAACAAAAGAAAACATCATTTTCTCTTATTTTTTTATCCCGCCAGAGCCAGACCCAAAATATTTTTATTTTTAGGTCGTCCAAACTGGGAAAGATTGCAGGGCTCTAATTTCGACGACTACCATAAAATATTCTAATAATTTGTGATATCACATAACTATAATTAAACACCAAAATAGCAGTTTACTGCGTCATAGGGGTATTCCAAAATCATAAAATTGAATTATCTAACATAAAACAATTAAATTGATATGTCAATATTTCTAATATACTGGCTGGACAATTTTAGAAACATAACATTTTCTTACTACTCAATATTTTACAAATCCTGCCCAAAACATTTTTTTAATAATAAAAACACCACTGATTTTGATTAATATACTGCCCAAAATTTTATAAATATTGTCCAATACATTAATTTACTGCCTAAAAAATAAATAGCCAAGCCAATATAGAATTAATTTAAATAATGATTTCTAAAAATCAAAAATTTTAATCTGATTTAATCATGCTAACCCTACCAAATTTCGAACCTATTCAAAAACTAGTCTTGTTAAAGTAACTAGTTATATTTTTGCAAAAAAGTAACTGTAACTAGTTACATTTGGAAAATTGTAGCCTAAAGGTAACTAGTTATATTTTTTGGAATGTAACTGTAAAAAAACTAGTTACTTTTGAAAATATTTTTAAATTTATAAAATTTTGTTCAGACAGATACAGAATTTATAGTAAATTCTAACTCGTCATTTGATGAGGATGACAATCAAATGATTTAGAATGGCAAAATAGAAATTATACCTCCCCTTCTAGAATAACCAAAACAACGGACTTAAATGTAAAAATACATTATTCAAGCTTCGAAATATATTTTGGATTTCACAAATAGAAGGCTGCAACATAAAGGTTAAATGTTTCTAAATTCTCTTATATAGACCATATATATTTTAGAAATCACATGCTAACCAATCCTTAAAAATTAAGGAAACCATGAATAATAAGAAAAATAATTCAGACACATCAAATAAATTAAAACAAACCAAAATTAATTTTGGTGGAAATAAAAATTTTAAAGGTACCAGCATTCATCCCTATTCAACTGTGATGATGAGGATTATTAAGCTAAAAAATACTCTGCAACCTCATAAAAAGATAAACTGTGGATAAACCTTAACTTCAGGAGTATCTAAATATTTTATTTAAATGAAGGGTATTGTAAGAAAAAATCTTTGTTTTTTTGCACAACAGCTAACTGCATTTAATCGGCAAATTTATGAACAATTTTATCATATAAATAATAATATATAGGTGTAACTGTGAATTGGATTGATATGAAATCAAACATCATTTGATGATGTTCATTTTTTTGACCTAAAACAACAAAATTAGTTTAATATTTCATTAAGCCCTAATTTTATGGAAAACGAATAAAGGTTTTTTTCAGTATAAATATATATGATATTGTTATATTTATTTCGATGCAAATATATTCTATTATCCGATATTTTATTTTTATGTAAGTATATTCTATTCTCCTGTACCTATCGTTAAAATTTCTATACTTCATTTTTATATTAAACAAAAAGATGATGCGTTGGATAAATAAATATTGCGTTATATAATATGTTACGTTTCAAAAGTAATTTCTAGCAACACTACTAAAAAATATTTATTATTTATCGCCATAAATTGTTTTCTTTTTATTCTTGTGTTTATCTAATTAAATTTCTTTTTAAATTTTTTTCTTGTCAATTTCAAATATTAAGGACAAATTATCATATTCATTTTTTAAAACGAATAACGGAAGGAAAATATTCTCTAAACACAAATTGATAGGTAATAAGCCTAAACTTGCATTTTATACCAATCATCTAAATAACAAACCATATGTATAAAATTTCGAAAGGTATGCCCGTTATGAAAATGTTATATTTTATATAGCTTCTATTTGGTCCTTTTAAGGTCTCATAGTTTAGATTACATTAATTAGGGTTCCTATAATATCCCTAATTGGTAACTCATGTCAAAAAAATTTTCTAGTGCTACCTGAATTTATCTTCTAAACTTAATAATATTATGAATATGAGCTTTCCACCAGGAATTGATAGCATTTATTAAAATCACATACCGTTCTTTTTCAAAACTAGATTACAAAACAATGAATTTTTAAAAATGTCAAAAAAGGGTATTATGTGAATAAAAAAGCTATATATAGAAATATAGGATTAAATTTAAGATATTAATTTAAGCAGAAAAGTAGACTATAATGACAGTGCAAAGTAAATAAAAGTAGACTATAATGACAGTGCAAAGTAAATAAAAATATATTATAAGGGCAGGGAATTTTAGCATAATGGGTGGAAATTTTTTGAAGCATATGATAATTTTAAAATTAGTACATATCTTGTAATTGATAAAAATTAGGTAATAAATAAGCTTTCCTCTAATTATTAACAGGTATTTAAAATAAAGATATTAGAATATAAAAAATTAAATTTTATTCTGGATAATTTCGAAGGGGTGTAATTTATACTTTTTAAATTTTCTCTTATTTAATTTTTTTCTCTCTCTTTTATGTAAAATTGAACCAGAAGCTTGGAGCACTCAAGAACCAAGTATGTACTTTCAAATCTGAGCCGTAACTAACGTATTTCTCGAATGTCAAATCTTAAATATGTATTTAGTAATTCGATCAAAATATTAATTATCAAAAATCATTTTTGTATTTTACAATTCCTTAATATGTCATCGATACCCGATTTCAGGAACAACCTTAAAAATATTTAATTTCGCCTCTCCTTTTAAGCATTTAAGGTATAGGCATCTTTAGGCAACGAAGAATCATTTGTAAAAATATTATAATCTTGTAGAATAATTTTTAATCTATATTTAGAATCTAATTTTAATTTCCTTCTTTGATTAAATTAACCTTTTTCTTCCCTTTAAATTACATTTTATATTATCTTTATATTACTGGCAGAGGAGCATAGACTCCGTTGACCTTAACACTGATGTTAGAAGGAAAATGGTCATCACAGCCTGACTTGGGATCACTCATGTCGTAAAGACAAAATCTAAGCTGAATTTGAGTGGCGTAGTCTTCTTTTTGTGTGATTGGACATTTGAATCTAAAATATAAGTATAGATAAATATGATGGAAAATATGATAAAATTTAAATATGAATAAACGCAATAATTTTTTTTTTATTGAGTAATAATGTTTAAAGCTCAGCAATAAAAGTGTTAAAGTTTTTATATTTAAAAAAAATAATGAAGGAAACTCAAAACATTTAAAATATTTTTATAAATAGCGAAGATAAAACTGGTTTTCTTTATATGTTTAAGAACCAGGGTGTGGAGATAAAATTCAACTTGATTTAAATAACGAATTAAATCAAGTAATTTTTTCTTAAATCACTAAACAAAGTCATTAGATTATATGATATTATAAATAATAAATTGAATTCATTAAAAAAAATGAAAGCTACTTAAACATTTTTTCATGTTAATTTTAACCAGTTTAGAACATGAACTAAAAAAGAGATTTGGTTCTGAAAATAACAAAAATTAAAAATTATAATTAATTTTTCCAAGAGTTTTAAATTATTATAAATTCGTAAAAGTATTATCAAACATTGAATCATATAAATATATTATTAAACGGTACATAATTCTTTATTATCTAACTATAATATTTGGTCATTAAAAATTTAACCTAAAAAATAAGATTTAAATCAAAAGAAAGTCTGGCTTAAATATTAAAAAATATAAAATTTTCAAATTTATTTTAAAGATCAATGCTGCTAATAACGCAATTGCCCCTCTTTATTTATTTACTATATAACTTCTTCTATATTAAAAGAAAATCGTGGTAAGAAAAAAAAAGTTCAATAAAATGTCATGGTTTTAGTTTAAAAAAAATAACAATTGTGGAACTCACACGCAGGGTTGCCATGCCTCCCCCCATCAGTGGGAGTCTCCCACAATTTTTTAGTTTACCCACATACATCTCACTCCCACAAAACTCCCACAATTAGAAATCTCCCACAATCTCCCACAAAAATCTCCCACAATTTTTTAATTTCTCCCACAATTTTTTTTTTAGCATTTTAATGTTTTTAATATATAAAATTTTGAGAGACAATATTTGATTATTTTTATATTTTTAAAATAAATTTTAAATATTTATTCGAAAAATATGTCTAGTTCTTTTATTTTATTTTTCCGCTAATTTTAAATTCTCCATCCAATCCAATCCATTCGACATTTTCAAAATTTGAAGTTAGAATAGTATGGGAAACTAGTGCTTTTTTTATATTTTTATTTATATATACCATGATAGTTATCTTCTAGGTGAGATTTAGATTGTTTTGAGGTTAAAGCACTAGTTTCCAATACTGATGTTGTTTTTTGGACAATAAAATGTTATAATTAAATATATAAAAAGAAAAATTATTTTCAATATAAATTGCTTATGTACTATTATATATTAAAAAATATATTATTAATATTAGAAGTAATATTTTTAAAAATTAGCAATCTTAGAAAATATTATTATCCTAATCATCTTTAATCTAAGCTTAAAAAATCCTAAATATTATACATATTTTATATTTTTATTTATATATACCATGATAGTTATCTTCTAGGTGAGATTTAGATTGTTTTGAGGTTAAAGCATTAGTTTCCAATACTGATGTTGTTTTTTGGACAATAAAATGTTATAATTAAATATATAAAAAGAAAAATTATTTTCAATATAAACTGCTTATGTACTATTATATATTAAAAAATATATTATTAATATTAGAAGTAATATTTTTAAAAATTAGCAATGAAAGTGGAACTCATCTTAGAAAATATTATTATCTTAATCATCTTTAATCTAAGCTTAAGATATCCTAAGAGGCCGAGTTAATGGTTAAACAAAATTATAAAATGTCATGCCAGGATTTTTATAAATATCTTAATAACGACGGTAAACGTTTAGTTCCATTATTTAAATCTCATATAAAATATAATTAACTATAACTATTTGACTTTCTATATTTTATAAAATCTTATTTATACATTTGCATAAAATCAAATAAATTTATTTTTTACATTGTAAAATTAATATTTTGAATATTTTGGCAAATCATAAAAATAAAGAAGCAATACAATCTCCTCAAACATGACATCATATTAAATCTTATTAATAATTATCCGATAATAGTAATATTCTTACTTTGGTATTTCTGCAGCATAATTTAGTGAGCCTTTATTAAATTATATTCTTCTGATTGCAACTGCATATTAACAGCATATAGTAGATTTCCTATATGTAAAATTCCTAAATATACTTCTGCCATTTATTTTTGAAAATTATTTTCAAATAGGACAGCTTTTATAATCTATTTATTTTTTAAAGGTTTGTATTTTAAAATTCTACGATGGCGCGTATTAGGAGGAACCTGTCAACCAACATTATGCTGACTCAATTCTGTAAATACACTCTGGTTTTTGCCAAATTCACTGAGGAATTATTAGATCAGAAAGCTACCATGCAATTCATTGGTAATGCCAAATCTGCCATATTTACCATTATATATGGTTAGCTATGTCTTTGGATATTTCATATCTGGAGAAATTTTTTTTAATAGTTTTATTAAAATGACATTAATTTTGTTGAAATAGGGGAGGATCAAGGGAAATGTTTTGATATCTCCTTATTAGATGCATCTGTTAGATTTGCATATGTTTGCACATCTTTCAAATCGTCAAGAATTGACCTTCTGGATTTATATCCTAAAACATTGTTGATAGCCTTGCTCATTTTGTGTTTTACAAAGTATTCTATTCATTTATATTAGTCGTTAAATATTATGGGGAAAGATTCTACCAACATTGATATGTTGAGTAACTCTCTGAATGTTGTACTGCACTCACACGTCTTAAATATTAAGAAAGGTATTTGAGATATATCCAAAAAAAAATATAATATATTAAAGTGGAATGCATGGCACGTGTAACCAATGGGGGAAATAGAATTACCCCTCCTCATATTTGCCAGTTCGTAAATATCATTTTAAGCTAATATAATAAATTTACCCAAAAAATTTCTTGCTAAAACAATTTCCTATTCCCCAAAAACTGAATAAAATGTCTTAAACCATATTATTAATTTTTTTAAATAAAGACTGTAATAGAAATTTTTTTTTCTAAAAAACGCAAAAGGATATTTAAAATTTTTTAATACGGCCATGGTTTTTAAATAAGGGACCGAAAAATATCCAATATAATATATGGCTAAAAAATTAACCTAAACGTCCCCCATCCTTATAAAAATCCTGGATATGCCAGTGGCGCAATGATAGGGAGTGTTTTCATAAGTTTAAAGAAATGTTATAACTTATTTATGGTATATTGTAAAATAAGGAAATAACATCGCTTAATAGTGATATTGCTACATTCCCATTTTGGTAATCTTTAACCAGAGAGAATTGCAAAAAAATGAAAACCCACTAATAAATATATTTAACAATTTTTTGGTGCAATATAATTAGGATGTCGAACCGTTAAAGTATAACGATTAAGTTCTATTTTGGTTCTAGTTTAAAATTTCAAAACAATTTAGTTTAACTCCGATTACTTTTAAATAAATATATAGGTTCGTTCCGGATAAAAACCGACAAAAATTAAGAAAAATAAGTTGAATATCTTTTATTATAAAACAGGATTAAGAATGAAATAACAAATTAATAACATTTTTTAAATTGAATTAGAACGAATTAATAAAATATATTTAATTCAGAGACCTGCAGACCCGGCCTATGTAATTTTTTTTTAAAAAAATACTCCTTCCGGTTCGTATATTTTAAATAGCCAATTATTAGCTGTAAAGATTAAAATTTGATGTAATATATTTTTAAAAAATCCGCGCCGGGTCGAAAATTTTTTTTAAAAAAAATCCGGACTGGGCCTAAATATATCCGAGCCTGGCCGAAATTTTTTTTTAAAATAATAACCCGGGCCGGGCCTTGCAAATGGTACCTCTGCAGGTACTGATTTTATTAAAATAATTAATATTCAATTAAATTATTTTTAAAAAAAAATATAATAAAAAACCGTAATGAACCGAGTTTCGTTCTCTTATTTTAGAATTTTATTTTACGTTATGGTTCCGAACATTATTACGATTAATTTTTTTCGCGGTTCGATTCGGTTTGGTTCAATACCCTGACATAATATTCTGTTTTTTACTCAAATATTAAATTAAAATTAGACAAAACAATTTAAAATTCATTTTATAACTTACTCACTAAATTAAAAATGGAAACAAATTATACGCACATCGAAATGCACAATTTTAAATATGATTTTACAGTTTTTAAATTATTTTCACAGTTTTTTTAAAAAATGCTCAATTGTATACTTATATTCAGCTTTTAAATTATTTTCATAGTTTTTTAAATAAATGCTTAGTTTTATAATTATTTTAACATTTTTTTAAATTAAAATCGCAGTTTTACTAATTTTATCAAGCACCAAACACACTAAATTCGGTACAAGTCTGATAACAAACTCGTGGACCGCGCAAGAGGTTAACTTAGGGCTATGCAACAAAGATAAGGGTTATTGTTTATTTTAGATGATATGAAATACTAATTTTATTAAATATCAGAACTATTACATACAATAAAATTTTACAGATGTAAATAATAAATAATTGTTCATATATTTTAAATTAATTATCGAAATCAATAAAATATGTTGTTGATTATATGGCTTGAAAAAAAATATTATAATATAGATGATTTGCTTATAAAGAAGTGCAATAATTTATAACTGCAATAAGAAAAATTTATAATGTCATTTTTAAATTTGTGAATCGATGGTTTCAAATATAGCAGAAATTTTGAGATTTAAAAATATACAAATTAGATTAAGTTGCTAGCAAATAATTTTATCATTAGGCTACAATGAGTTTATAAATAGCAATGACTATATTTAACCCCTGCTTATAATTGTATTTAATAATGAAGTCTAAATGTATTTAACTTTTATTTAATACCCATGGTTATGTTCTGTTTAATTACTATTTATTAGATATCCATAAAAATTCACTATCTTATAGCCAGTTGAAATA